TCCAATAGCCTAAAACCATGTACTTGTGCATGCATGCATGGCTAGTACACGTTGAGGGAACAAGCGCCCACACCTAGAGGCTTGGCCGCTCGAGCGGCCGCACATAGGCTTTGTGCCCGCACATGTCCTGTGTAACGCCCAAAATAAATATGACAAACCCATCTCATTTGCAGAAGTAGAATTTGAACAACATACTTACTTTCATCAAAGTTAATATACAAAAGGTGACACATGCGATATACATTCTTAAATGTCCTATCCTAAATCTACAACATGTGTTACTAATAATCAAAAGATGAAGGTTGAACAGATAATTAAAAGCCCTAACAACTTACATCCTTCCAAGTCATTCCTTGGTTACGACAAAATGAGTCTAGCTCAATACATTTAATTCCCTTGGCTATACAAATTAAATAAAACAAAAACGAGCCCTTGCACCAAGTCTCTGCAAGCTACTATCTTGGAGGAGGCATGTCGCCAGCATCTGAAAATGATTTTTTCTAATAGGGTAAGCCAAAGTCCAATAGAAATAATCTAGCACAATATATGAATCTTAACAAAGATGTAAGTATGAGATGTATGTCCAATGCCCATGATAAAACCATTTATGACTCTTTCGCAAAACCATGTCATGCCAAGCTTTATATCACAATTCATATTATCTCAATTCATGAGTCAATTCCATTCATTCTAGACAACCAAACTAAGAACATGGCTCAGTAGGTCTCAAATCAACATAACTATCATACAAATACTTCCATTTGCCATTTTATGAAAATTTTGTCTGTGGGAATTGGCACCCATGTATACATACGGTTTTCGGGACTTTCACCTGGACACACAGGCCAACTTAATTTAATTTAGTCCATCCCATTTCCCCTCTCAAATATCATACATATACAATGTATTATAACACAGTCATATTCAATGACAACCAAAAAGAGATTAATTTAAATTCGCCTAATCCTCATGCAATTTCTACAACCATCATGGTTGTCCTCCACCGATAGCCCAAAAATAGATATTTCTAAATAGATATACAATCCTTACAACAGATAAATTATCCAAATTCCCATAGGTTCGAGATAATATATATTTAACTCCACCGTTTATATAAACAACGTCCCAATTTCACACCTTCACTACCAATTCCATTGTTTATATAAAATAATCATTTGAGTCATTTTAGGGAAAAACTCCCATTTTTTCCAAGTTCATCCCAAGCACCAAAATCAACTATTTTAACACAATGCAAGTTCATATCTACTCCCATAACCATTTCCATTACATTCATTCGAAAACCCCTCTTTTGATTTTAAATCAAAGCCCTAGATTTGTCCAAACTCTTCCAAATCCAAATCTTGTCCATACAACATCAAACAACTAAGTTAAAAACCATATGAAAGTGTAGAAAATCCCTACCTCAAGCTTAGAAGACCAAAGGAAAAGATGGAGGAACTTCAAAGACGCCAAAACCAAGCTTTAATCGGATCACAAGAGAGCTCTTGAGACGTACTACATTTTTAACAAAGGCACACGGGTAGAGAACACACTAGATCTAGGTGAAAATATAAATATATATATATAGAGAGAGAGAGAGAGAGTTGGTCTAGGGCTTTTGAGAAAAAAGTTGTCAAAAAGTGATGTAAAAAGGTGTTTCTGCGAACTAATATACGCGCAGCTCGCTCGAGTGACCAAACACAAATAAGTCACCTCTCTCGAGTGCAAGAAGCTTTGCTTGAACGCAGAATGCACACTCCCTGAAGTTTTACAAACAGAAGACCGTCGCTCGAGCACAAGAGTTATCGCTCGAGCGAAGAACACTACCCTCCCAGTATCTTTGCAGGCTTGCAAAAGTACGAGAGCTCACAAAGCTCACTCGAACGAAGAGGCCAAAATCTGGACAACAACAATTTGAACCAACTAGCAACCAACCTGTTCCAAACACAACCAAAGCACTCCAATACTCAATTTCAATAAGGAATAAGGGAAAAAGAGACAAGAAGAACAGTACAGAATCATGAAACTCGAGGCCGAGATATAACAAGGGTCATGTCAAAACTAGAATCGCTATATCCTGCACATCCGCACAACCCACCGATTATAGGTTTTGATTTTAAGTATGAATTGGATGGGAGGCACAAGGAGTTAGCGATAGGGCAATCATAGCTAACCCTAGAGTGTTCCCCAAGGCTCCTTGAACACTACCCTTCCTCTTTGAAAGACCAAATTCGAAGACAATTTTGAAGTGTTTGAAGTGAGTTAGAGTGTCTTTTCTCCACCCCCACCCTCAAATCCAAAAATACAACCTAAACACAATGGATGTGTTTGGTTTGTGTTTTGAGATAAATTTTCAACCAAAAAAAAAAAAATTTGGGGAGAGAGTTTAGATATTTTTTTGGTTTGTTTGGTTCTATATTTTGAAAATAGTTTTGTGTAGACACCCCATTTTTGACCGCCCTCAAGACTTGGACGTCATTGTTTGTACACTCGATGATTATCCTTGTCTGTGTTTGTTTTGAGCGCCCAAAGTCCTCGGCGGGACGCCTTGTCTTTGAGCCTCTAAACCTATCTGTTTTGTGCATGTTTTTGGACCAAGAACTTTTTGCCTCTTGCCTGGGGAGGAAGGTGGCCAGTCAGCCAGCCCTAGACCTTGTCGGCCACAAGTTGTGCCTGTCGGCCACCAGTGGTGGCCAGTCGACTAGCAGTGGTGGCCGACGGCCATTTGTTCCCTTTCTTATATATTTGTTTGCCAGTTGTGCCTGCTGTTGCTCACTGAACTGCATCTTCATACACGTGTATGGAGTGATCACTACAACAAAATTGACTTTTTACAGCTTGCAATGCATGCCATAAAAACTCTTTCACGGCATGCACACAAATGCTGTTATATGACATGCCGTAGAAAGTTGAGCGTCATTTGCGGCATGCAGGTAAAGTTGTAAAAAGTAATAAATTAAACATTAATGACATACTTTGTATGCCATATATAACTTTTTACGACATTTTTATCATGTCATAAATCATCATACTTTCCAAGACATAATTTTGCATGCCGTAGAAGATTATTTTTAATATATTTATGGCATACTTTGTATGCCATATATAGTATTTTACGACATTTTCTTGCATGTCATAAATCATCACACTTTTCACGACATAATTTTGTATGCCGTAGAAGGTCATTTTTAATATATTTATGACATGCCTTGTATGCCGTATATAATCTTCTACGACATTTTCTTACATGCCATAAATCATTACACTTTTCACGGCATAATTTTGCATGCCGTAGAAAGTTATTTTTAATATAATATATATATATATATATAGGAACATGACCTTGCCTAACCGTATGTAGACAATAGCTTATAAAATGCAACATGTTAACAAACCAAGTAGAAACAGCAACTATGAAGTAAGCAAAAAAATCTAATATCCATACACCAAACAACCTGCATACTAACTTTTATCCTCAACTTCTATCATATCAAGCTGATAACAACCTCAAACATACAAATCAAAAAAAGTATCCAAATCATAAGATTCACTAATCTCTAAAATACGACTTTAAACATCCAAAAAGTATAACTACAAATTGTAAATCAATTAGTCCAATATTTCATCCAAAAGAATGAATTGACTAGGCCATGCAACTGTACTTCCTATTGCATCTTGAAGAACGGCACGTTGACTATTACATGGTTCACCCATACTTTCTAACACAAAGGTCTAAGAATTGCATGATGCACCTTTGACTTGGGATCCCTTGATGCAATTTGGCCTTCTGCAACCACCAAGTTTGACCCGTCCCAATGCAACAACTTGCATTTGACATTTGCTAAGCTCGACACACAATTACTTTGATCCTACAAAAATTAAGAGTATATAAGCATATTGCATAACATTCATCCCATTTACGAAATATCAGTTCAACAAAGGAAATGAAAGTGTCAAAAAGCTTCAACGAGAACTCACTTACATATGCCATCAATGTCAGAAAAGAAAATTTCAACCTGATGAATACATATTTTGAGCTGGTCACACTTATGAGTCTACTCAACCTGATGAATTTATAAAAACTAAATGGACATTCTAATTCAAGTGGATCTCTAATAAGTTGGAAACAGTGAGAAATGAAAAGAAAGAGAACTTTAATTTTATTTTATAAGTTTCATTTCTCACCAAAAGTAGTGAGATTTGGCAAGAAACAAGCTCTGATTGCTTGTGTATCTTCTAGAATATCGAGATTATTCATTAAAATGCACTAAAAGAAAAGAAACATCACCCATATCCCTATATCACATTATGCTCTTTTACTCATCCAAACATGATAGTGAGAAAACACGATAATTTCTTTTCTTTTCTTTTACAATCATTTCTTTTTCTTCTTCTTCTAACCCCACAATCCAAGCGGAAGGTAAATTTTGCCAAGAAACAAAAAGTGGGCGGAAAATCACTATCATCAGGTGTTGGCTTAGAGCTAAACTGTTACTGCTGGACCACATTATAGCCCTAAAAATATGACAAGGCTCAAGAAAAGGATCTTAGGGCATACAAAGTCTATTCAACCACTACATAAACATTACCATCTGAGGCATAATTAAGACACATTTGAATGTCTGAAAAAATATGAATTGGATCACTTTAGGATTGGCTCATTAACAAATTAGATAAGTACATGTGTTGCACTGTAAAGATGACAACTAAAAAATTGATTAATTTACTTTCTTTGTGAGAATTTAAATTAGTTCATTTCTTTTAAACGTAGAATTACTGGCAAACAATGTGCAAAAAGTTGGGGACATTTGGGACATGGCTTTCCCTATTTAAGAGTGTGGTTTCTTCATCATTATGCATATCTAGCTCTTACAAGGTTTACATTATGTTATGCTTTTACAATTTGATGTGAGTAATCCTAGATCATATCAATTTCTTCAGTTACATCTCTGTCCAATTTTCCAACCTGCTTGTTCCGAGATCTAGGACTCCCAACTATCATGAATTTGTGTATGAAACAAAAGCGCAGTGTAATACAGGTGTTTGACTTTTAAGAATTTCATCATTTCTTTGTTATGTTTGGCCATATTTTAATACAGATTGCGAGAAGCATGATCTTGAAGTGAGTGAAGACACAGAAAAGAACTTTGCAGAGCTTTTGTCCGAGGAGCTGAAGCTACGGGAAACTGAAGCTTTGGAAAGTCAGCAGCGTGCCGACATGGCACTGCTCGAGGCCAAGAAGATTACATCCCAATATCAAAAGGAGGCAGACAAGTGCAATTCAGGGATGGAAACTTGTGAAGAGGCAAGGGAAAAAGCAGAAGCAGTTTTGTTGGCACAAAAGAGACTGACTGCGATGTGGGAATCAAGGGCTCGTCGGAGAGGATGGACGTCATTATTTTACTGATGACTTGTGTTTTTACTAGGATTCTAATTTAATTTTCGAGTGGTGAGGAATCCACTTCAACCTATGGGTTCAATTTTTTTTGATAAATAATCACACTTTATTAGAAGCGCACATCAAGGCAATGCAAAGAATACAAAATGACAAACCCACATAGGGATCAAAAACTAACTAATGAAATCATCTACATTCTACAAAAGCCAAGACATTTGGATCAACTGAAACTGTAACCAAATTATGCAACATAATAAGAAGCCTGCTCTCCAACCACGGAATTGAATGAGACACACACTAGAAAAACCTATTTTCACTCACTGAAGTTGGAAGGTTGTCATGAGGAGTAGATTGGAGTAGATTGGAGCTTCTTTGGGAGGGATTGATACCCTACAATCAAAGATAAACATGCAAGTGATTTAAATATAAAATAACAAATTAAACACAAACAAATTATGTGCCATGACATTATATTATCATGTTTAGCTTTTCCTCTTACATCATTTTGCCTTCTTTCTTTGATAAGCGTGGCTCTTATCTCATCGAGTTATTGTTCTAAGTCCAGCACCTTGCTTTCAAGTTTTCTCACGTGCTCATTTTGGTGTACTTGTGCATCAACCTTAGATGTTAATGCCCCAAATCCCAGCCCTCGTACACTCCCGCGACGCTCGGGACCAAAGTATGAAAAATCGCATCATCTTTTATAGATTTTGGACCCTCATCAGTAGAAGCCTTATGAAGTTTTTGAACATTTTTCTAAAAATATAAAGCATATCTTAATAAATTGATGGGAATGCAAATTATAATACCAAAAAAATAAAATAAAAAATGAAGTAATATTGGTACCACAGTCGCATCAAGCACTTCATTCATGGATTTTCCTTCCTTCCTCGTATGCCCTTTAATCCAAACATCAACTCTTGATATGGATGATGGTGCTCGACTTTCTCTTCTCTAGAAAATAAAATAGAAAATGAAAATCAACATGATTAAAACAATCTCAAAGTAACCATACTTCATACCCAATTTACAAAATTACTTGAATCACTCTTAAATTTACCATTTCATCCTCTAATCGTCCATAACCTTTACGACTCATGGTGTGAAAGAGGGTTTGTTTTTTTCTCATTGCCCTAAATCTTTTACTCTTTGCCTACATATACAAAAAAAGAATGTCATAATTTATATGATTAATAATTCATAATTGAATCACTATGAGAAAATTTGTTGGTCTAATTAGTTCATAAAAACTAGAGAATTTCTATGAGGAAACTTACCTTAAATTCTTTGGAAGTTTGTTGTTTCACAAATGCTTTCCATTCAACCATTTCTACATTATCAGGTTTGGTGAGGACAATATTGTGTGCTAGCTTAGCACTTTTACCAAGAGGTCTTATTTTTCGTGATAGTTCAGATTTGTGTGAGCGCCATAATCTGCCAAACTTTTGCATGATGTGTTTCCTATGGCAATCATGTATTCTGAATCTAAGCTGCATTTGCATTTAAACAAAAATTTAGTGATTAGGAAAAACACTTGAGTTGATAGTATAATAATGAATTAAATAAATATATGTTACCTTCACACAAGCCCATAGCTTGTCTTTAACCTCTTCTGGAATATTAGGCCATCTCTCTATGGTTATTGGCACCATCTCTCGTGCCAAGATCCCTTCTAAAGTTGATAGTTTAACTGACTCAGGTCCCACAGGCTGATTCCTTTCATTGAAGTCAATTTCATCACACTTTTGTTTTCCTTTGTCATGCATCTTTAACTTTGATGCCCCCCTAGTTTTCTTCTTTGGTACTTGAGTGGAGTCTACAACTCCTTCCATATCATGTGATTCAACATGTGGAGAAGTAGAACACTCATCTAAAATTATGAATGATGCATTTCTTCTTTCATCCATTGATGCAGCAATTATAGCTTCACGCTCCTTTCTAATTCTTTTCTCATCTTTTTTTGAACTCTGTGCAATACATGAGGAAAAATAAGAAATAATGTGGACAACAATTGGTTATAAATTCAATTTTATGTTAAATGAGAAATAAAGTACCTCTCCAATCATCTTGCTAGTTGACAATTTCAAGATTCAACTGTTAATAAGAAAATGGGCATTCACAATAACAATTAGATCAACAACAATAAACCTGAGTCATTGCAGAGAAAAACAAATATCAATATCAGCCACCTCTGAACTTTGATTTCTGTTTGTGAACAAAAGCTAAATACAAAATCTAAACACAATGTTTGTGAACCAAAAATGGGAATTTTTTCCCTTGGGCAGATGGTTCAACCTAACAATATAAATTAAAACATTACGAGAAATTATAGGAGACACATTTCCTATTGATAAGCACAAGACAATCCATCCACAGGTCAAAAATATAAGATCTAATCCAGATTCATAAAACAAATCGAAGTAAAAAAAAATGTTAAGTAATTGTAAAAACATAAATTTGAAAATTTACAAAGCATGAAGTGAAGAAACCTATCTACTATTCCAGACTACTAAAGCACAATGGTGAGCTGTATTTTTTACAAGTCACAAGACGATTAGGTTCACCAAGATAATAATTTTAAAATCTATGGTTTCATATTTTTATCAGCATGAAGTCCAAAATTTTACATCATCATTTATATTTCACCAGAATAAGTTGATAACAGTGATGATTATATTGGTCAAATTGATTGACTCTTGCTTAGGAGATCTCCTGGATTATATCACATGGGCGCGAGAATTTTGTAAATCTTACATCCATGTTCTTACGGCATTCCCAGGAAAACCTCTCTTAGTACCCAAGAAATCAGTTATCTAATGGGAAGTGTTCAGTGATGTATGATATTTGTTTTGCTACAGTCGCTTATGCACATATCATTAGATATTTTGTTCTTAAATGACAAAATTAGTTTACAAATAAAAACGGAATTGAAAACAAAAGGCAAAATACAACCTCATTGGCCTCAACTCCTAAAATTTATGACATCTCTGAATCCATCCTCATTCGCTTCATTATCTAGAATCTATAACCCATAAACAAATAATAGAGGCATGTGGTAATGAATGTAATGCGTCTACAAGCAGACTCTCAATGTGTGTCCATAATATGCTATCAAAGACTAACATAATTCTTCAACAAAAATACCTTCAGCTTACTAATGGCACGCAAGCAATCATCCTCGGACATAGCTTCACGAGCACTCTTTCGCCTCTGACAAAGCAATTTACAGAGTTCCTCCAAGTTGATCAAACCCCCATTATGGGGTCTGGTACCCAAACAAATATCAACAATTTGCACCCCTGTCTAGCCAAGTCAATTCATGTCAAGTCATTACGAAGTGTTATCACAATGACCACAGGCAAGAGGTCATGACTTAAAACATAATTGACAAAAAATGGATTAATGGCGAAATTCAAAAATCATGCACATCATGCCTATCCAGATTATGTATAACAATCTGACATAGTTTCCTAAAACAAAGCCCCGCTAAAATACCAGTAACCTAAACCCATGAATCTTGAAGATTAATTTCCATAGGCAACAACATTAAGAATTGCTTACCTCTTATCCATCCAATTCAACAACATGAAATCCATACCTTAATATACAGTAAATCAGCTGAAGTCATCTGACAATTGAGAATTCACCAGTAGACAGACCATATATTTAACTCATGATTATGTATTTTCTAGCTAATATGTAATTCCATTGGTACATGGACCGGGGGTAAATGCATCAGGTGCAAGTATGAGTAAAGGTGTCAAAGCCTCCAGATATTAGAATGCAAAGATAAAGTTGAGTTCTTCAATTTATATTGGGGGGAAAATGATAGAAATTTTCACCAAGTGACCCATGTGCACTGGCAACACACAGTTAACAGGTACTACACCACAAATAACACCTACATGCTTTCCCATTAATGTCTCAATATGGTAGATCATACAGTCAAACAGTAGTTGCAACAATCAACATTATGCTCCCCATTCCATCATAACAAAATTGGAGACTTATATACAATGAATAGAAACATCTAATGATATAATTTCATAATAGGTTTTTATGTTTTTGTTATAAAATAATTCAAATCATTCCTTACATACAACCAACTACTTTGTCTTTTTCCCTCTATCAAACAATGATAGAAATGAAATAAAAAAACAAAAGCAAAAACAAAATTCAGAGTATTCACACCAAGGCCATCATTTGCACGAAAGAAAAACAGGATCAGAATTTGACATGAAAACCCAAAGTGACCACCACTGAATTGAGATCAGCACTGGAAGAGCAGAGCAGAGCAGACAAACACCAAAGTGACATGAAAACCCATTACCACAATACATACATCCAAATTCACCGACATATCCTATATTTGTTATTTATAGCATTTTGTGACCCCTAATTGGCATTTGTCATCAGTGGTAGCACAAAAGCTACAAAACCAAACACACTATGTTAGGTAAGCTAATAAAATTCTGGAAAAAACTGAGAACACTAAAGAGTAGAGCATCAAATGGGGAATGTCAACTATATTAACATAAATTTAACTAAAGTATTTATGTTTGTGTGTATGTCTATGCATCAATTTATCTATATATAATTCCCTTATAGCAACATTCTACTCCATTTTAACTCTACTCAAAATTCTTTGATCAGCAAAAAATGGAGATACCACATCTTGGCAACAACCTTGATGAACTATCATGGTTCTTTATCTCTTTGCCACCTCCTCCAATGCATACCGAGTGGACTTTTGAAGAGAATAAGTTGTTTAAGAACACTCTTGCTGAGTTCGACCTTAATTCTATAGACTTATTTGAGAAGATTGCTTCTAGGATTCCCCAAAAAACAATTGATCAAATCAAAGAGCACTATGAAGCACTAGTGGAATTTAATTGAGATTCCATCAACAAATTATTATACATCAAATTGCTCAAACTCGACAGGAAGAGCTTGAGGGAGAGAGAAAGAGAATACGAAACTGAGAGAGAGAGAGAGAGAGAGACAGTGGTGCTCACCTTAGTAGACGATGGTCCTTGCTTCCCTCGCCGGTGCAGATGGTGGAGGTGGTGGAGCTTCGAAATCTCAAAATCGAAATTGCCAATCGCTCTGAGATTGGATCTGAGATGAATCACCAATCGCTCTGAGATTAGATCAACAGGGCTGAAGATGATTGATTTGATCGGTTGAGAGAGATTAGGATTTAGAGAGGGTTGAGAGAGAGAGAGATCGAGACCCAGAGAGTGACTGAGAGAGTAACGGGGCAATGGTTTTCAATTTAATTAAGTAAGTTTTTAAATATTTTAAATAATTTTTTTTTTTACTTTTTAAATTCAAATAATTTATATATACTTAAAATAAATATTTTATTTTAATTTTAATAATGTTTTACTTTTTAATTTTTTGAAAAAAAATTCACTAAATTCAAAAAAATATAAAATTTAATACATTTTATATATATATATATATATATATATTATATTTTATTATTTTTTTTACAAATGTTTTATTTTTTAGTTGTATTCAGATTAGACACATCTAAAAAGTAAAAAATAAATAAATTATTAAAAGAAAGAAAAATATCAAATCAAGGTAATTTTAAAAAATAATAATTATAAATTAGTGAGAAGCCATATAAATAATAATTATTAAACTTATAAACTTTTTTATGAATGTGTAATAATTCCTTAAATTTAAATGTAAGCTTACTTGGAGATGGAAGCTGACAATAGCCTTGGATAGTAGATCATTAATTTTTTTTTTCTCTCTCTAGGATTTGGTGGGTTAGATGAGGCAATGTTGGAGTAGTTGGGTTAATAGAGAGAGAAAGAAGTGGGGGTATTTTAGTCATTTAATGTTATTTTTTACACCGTATGGAACAAAGTGAACATAAGAGGAAATCTTTATAATAATTTCAAAAGTAAGAGTGGTTAGTGTTCGCGGGAGTAGTACAGGGGAGGTCTTTGTAATCATGCTAAACCTTATGAGATGTTAGTATAATTTACCCAAAATGAAAAGACATTAAAAAGATTAATCTCTATTTTGGGCAAAAGAGTCCTTTTATACAAACTCAGATTAAATAAATCAAGGAAGAAATCTCTTAAATTCAAAATTTAAAATTTTAAAATGATATTTTTTAACAATTGATTAAAATAGTCAAAAAGTTACTGAAAAAAAGTAAAATATTCCCTTTATTTTTTTTATACGTCCTTTCATATAATGTTAAAAAATTAACTAAAATAATCAATTCTTAAGAATTTAATTACTATGTTGATTTATGATATTAGGCTTTGTCTAGGATCAACTTAAAAGTTAAGTTTTTATTGTAACGCCCCACTTTTGGGTGATCCACCCTTCTTGTTGCTTAATTGTGTAGACTTTTGCACCATCTTTTAGCATATTCAAATCAAAATTTTTGGGCCTTTTAACAATTGAAACTAAGAGGTTTTCCAGTAACAAAACCTTCTTTTGAAGTCCAAAATTGGAGGGGTTAGCCTCCCCTTCTTGTTGTCTTGCTTGCATGCCTAGTTGCCTCACAAGGTAGCATGTTTTTGTAGCTTATCTTAGCCTATTTCCACCATGTTTGTACCTCTGATTTGGGCTGCTTTGGCTTTGTTTTGGGCTGTTTGTGTTGTATAAGGAGTCTTTTGCATAGATGTAGTGTAAAGGGCTTCACTAGTTTAGTGTTTTAAGCTTTTAAACATGAGTTGCTTGAGTTGTTTGCATGTTGTGGTGCTATTTTGAATGAAATGTCAGCATCATAAACTCTGTCACATATTCATTTGTTTCACTTTTTCATTCATTTTGAAAGTGGCTTTAAACCCCTTGTTGGCTTGAGTGTGAAATTGAGACATTCATGCTTAATGGTTTAATTCATTCGAGAGTTCAATATCAACGGCATGAGGTTTCTTTCATGCTCAAGGCACTTGTGGTTTAAATCCCTCTTTCTATTAGAGGACACTCACCTTGGACTTAACCGGTTAAAGAATGGATCGGTAATCTAAAATAGGTAAACAAAACATGGCAAGTAAAAGAGGCAAGATAAAGCATCTTTCGTATTGCATTGCATGTGTTCAGATCGAACGTTAATTCGAACACAAGGAAAATGGGACATTTCATACTCAAAGTGATGAAACGTGCCACTTTCCTTGGTCACCATCATCCTTGATCATGCATGATAGAGTGGTGGTCTTGTTGAGTCTTGTTTTACACTCATTAAACTTGTACAAGCTTGGTTCCTTAGCCATCATGCATGGAAATGCTTGGTTGATGGTTTAAGGGCCGAGAGTTACACTCATTTGAGCTTGTGTAATGACAGGGACAGTGACAGTACACACAAACCTTAAGAATACATTGCTTTGCCTCTGTTTACTCTCTCTTGCAGCAAAAAAGGAAATCTGGGGCAGGGGTGGCCGATGGGCCACCAGTAGTAGCCGACCGGCCACCAATGGTAGCCGACGGCCACCATTGGTAGCCAACTGGCCATCAATGAAAAATTGCACAAGTGTGCTCCTGAATTGGAGCAGAGGCATTCTGGAAGTTAGCAGCACTGTTGGTGTTCAAGCATGTGCAAACAGAGGCTGCAATGGCAAGGCGGTGGATTTTTGGGAGGAAACCAACCAAGCATGCATGTATCCCTCGCCCTTGAGGCCATTTAATTGCTTTAGTTAGCTTAGAATAGCTAGTTAATACTAGTGTTGTAATTATTTAATTAGCTTAAATAGTTAATCAGTTTAATTGCTTAACGTAGCTTAGCATAGCTAGTTATTCAATTTTGGTTTGTAATAATTAGTTAGCTTAGAATAGTTAATTAGTTTCATTATGTTGTAATAGCTTAGCTTAATTAGCGTAGCTAGTTAGCTTATTCATTCGGACCCTCCTTCACAAGGGCGTAATGTTGTAATAAGTGTGCGTGCATGTGTGTTTGTCTTCCAACCCCACGTCTTTCTCCCTATGATTTAATCACTTTTGATGGTTAGATTAGGGTCATGTTTCAATTAGCATACCTTATGCTTGCATACTTGCATCCATTCATATGTCTTGCATGCACCGAGGCTCGGCACATCATTCAAACTGCATTGCAATTTCAATACTTATTTGAATATGTGTTTCAAAGCATGCTATCAAAGTGTTGCTAATACTATGATTAAGTAGCCGAGCCTATTTAGTTACATCATTGTATGTGTTGCATTAGACATCTTATATAGTTTGGATCATGCATCTTTCTAACTAGTTTTTGTTTTGACTTTGAGTACTCGGTAAGTTTTTATGCTTTAGCATACTTGCATAAGTGTGATTACCATATTGCCATGTTTCTGCATCCATTCATATGTCTTGCATGCACCGAGGCTCGGCACATCATTCAAACTGCATTGCAATTTCAATACTTATTTGAATATGTGTTTCAAAGCATGCTATCAAAGTGTTGCTAATACTATGATTAAGTAGCCGAGCCTATTTAGTTACATCATTGTATGTGTTGCATTAGACATCTTATATAGTTTGGATCATGCATCTTTCTAACTAGTTTTTGTTTTGGCTTTGAGTACTCGGTAAGTTTTTATGCTTTAGCATACTTGCATAAGTGTGATTACCATATTTCCATGTTTCGCATGCTTACCATGAAGCTATGTGCTTACTTGTTAAACTGCATGAATGCCTATGGGTGAAGGATTGTTGTTTGAATTAGAACGATTCAACAAATGTATGTTTTAAGCCCACTTTGTTGTGACAAAATCATGTTTAAGCCCACTATGGTTAGTTGCAAATTCGCAGCTTTAAGCCCACTTGAAGGTGGCAAATTCAAACCATTTTTCGAAAACAATCATGAGTTGAATTGTTCCAAATTGAGCAAACTAGTCTATACTTGCTTGTGCTCATCACATAGTAAAGCTAGTTTAATAACCGGAATAAGAACACATAATGTTTATAAAACATCATATCATAATTAGTCGAGGCCGATCTTTGATCAGGAGCGGGGATGCTCATTTTAGGACCTTCCCCTCTCGTACCCAAGTTCCCGAGCCGAGGCAACTTTTGTGATGACGGACACGTGGCCTTTGGCATGAGTCAGGGTTTCCTGAATTTCTCCAAAATAAAATATCTAGGTGGTGACTCTGTATCTGGCAAAGCAGTCCAATTTTGGCACCTTTTGATTCAAAATCAATTTTCCAGAATGATTTGCTAGATTTGGACTCTTTGGTGATTATCAGTTTCATATTGCACTTGTGAGACTAGATTCAGAACTGCGAGAGTCTGAACTGTGAGGCTTTTCTTTTCAAACCCCTTTCCGAAAGGCGGGGCGCGGAACAAGGCGAGTCCACAGTTTTTGGCGACTCTACTGGGGATTTAGAGAACTTGACTTGAACTCATGATATGTTGTTTTCTCTACACTTATGTGTTTCTTTGCATTTGCATTTGCGTTGGTGCGCCTAAGTCATAGTGTTTGCCATCTGCTATTCCTGAACGGTTTGCCGGAGGCTCGCTTGGAAAAGCTTGCCAAAAGGCTGACCGATTGCGGGCTCTGCCACAATGGGAACACAACCCTTGGATCTGAACTATCGTTGTACTGTTTGATCCTCCTTTCACTTCTCGGTGTTAGTTGTGAATTATATTAGGTAGTCTTGCTGAGGTATCCTTTTTTACCAATCGGCCTAGTTGCATATCGGAAGCCATAGAAACTGTTCCAAATTAGGACAGCTTGCTCACCCGAATGTAGGATTGTTTGAAAACGCTTGTTTGCGCAATGAACCCCTAGCTCCTGACGAAATTAGGACAGGGTAACCCTACCCCATCATAGGGGTGTTTTGGCTCTCACTTGCTTGATGTGTGCTTTTAGAGTGAAACTCTGTAGGAATGTAAGTATCAGTTGCAAGTCTGGGTATCAGTTTGAGGGTATCAGTTTTAAGGCAGAAATTTGGGGCAGAAATCAGTGTTTGACTATCGTTATCCATCTTAAGATTGCAACTGTGTGTTGTTTCTGTCTGAGCCGAGGTGTTGTGCGGTTTCTGATTTTGTTTCCTTTTTTTTTTTTTTTTTTTTATTTTTTTTCCTTTTTTTTTTTTTTTTTTGCTTTATTTTCTTTTTGAGATGTAGTCTTTCACCATTGCTTCAGACGAGGTAGTTGCCCCCCAAGCACTCTGGACTCGAGTAAGGTGACTTTACCGATTTGGAGATCTTGTAAGAGG